CCTTAGCCACCCCCTGTTCCGCCGCCACTGCAATATATAGACCACAGTAAGACTTGAAAATTGTAATCCTATGCGTGAAGATGGAGCAAATCTCCGAAACGTCGTTTGTTAATGTAATAAACGCATTTAAAAAAGTCTTACTGTGGTCTATATACTGAACACAAAATATACAATTAACATGAGACTTAGGGAAAGTTCGTTCCTAAACATTTTGAAAAAACTAATATAGTCATAGAAAACATTTTATTTATTTATATAGACATCTGAGTGAATTTAAATTGCATTGCGTGACTGCGTGAGTGACAAAACTTTGGAAGTAAAGTAACATTTAATTAGCAGTCATGAATTCTGGTCATATTCTGTTTATCCATCTGTTACTGCTATACACACAGACATGTAGTTCTCTACACTCAAGTGCGTTGTTCAAATTGTACGTGTCAGGTAAGTGCAGCAATGAAATTAAAATTTGGAAAGAAACCATACAAAATGTCTCACTACAGTAAGATTTCGCGTTCATATATCTGCACTGTTAGGTCCGTTTCAGACGGCGTACTTTTCATGTGCCGAACTTAATTGACGACGGCAGAAGAGCAACGTATGAACCAATTAAGGTGGCTCCCTACAGTTCTCTAAAATGTTAGGTATTTTAAGTAACGTTCGCTTTCAACCGAATTTATTTTAAAGCAATTATAAAGCAAACAATAGAGTAATATTTAAAACAAACTTATCTTCGTTAACGTCGGTGCCTTCTTTTAGCAATTTTTTCGCCATTCATCAAAAAACTTTTGAAATTTACAAAATCTTGCAAACATACAATACAATACAATATAATACAATGCAGTCGTTATAATGCAAATTTCAAATTGGACCAATCAGTGTTGGCTATTCATGACAGTCCGCTATATTATGAGATCATTGAGGATGACCACTCACCGAATCACGCGCGGTAACCCACGCCCGTGATTATTGAAGAGCTTTAGACTTCGCTAATTTTTTCTTTCTCCGGGAGTAAATAGCCGGGCGGAATTAGTACCCTCGCGCGACGCTCCGCGCCGTTGGCTCGGGGATAAATCGTATTTAATATAAACTGTACTAACTATAGGGAGCCACCTTAAGTACGGCAGAATTTGGAGTGACAAAAGTTCAACACAAGTTCGGACAGAGCTTGTTGCATTATGCGACGTTGGAGCGACATTGATTCATACGCCGCTCCAAGTGCCTCCAACCATGTGGCATGTGCCAGACCTAACTCAACTTTTTTGTAAAATTTGTTCTAGTATGAGATTGGTCATAAATGCGCTTTGTACGCCGTTTGAATGATTTGAATCACTGCCGTTCTTGTGTCACTCCAGGGCATATGAAGAGTACGCCAGCTGAACTGAAAAGCCTGAATATGTCTTTAAAGGGTACCACCTGAAAATTCATATGTATCCGAAATTGAAATATGGGATTGACCTCAAATTGTTAAGGAGCGAATGGATCCTGTGGTTTTCAGGTTACAAAACCTTTTATCGACTGCGCATGCTACGAGTGTACCTAATCTATATACAATGTTCCAGCTTAATTGCATGGAATACAGAGAGAATAATGAAGTGTTTGGTTCCGTCGAACTGAATTACTCCTCTCACACGCAACTGAGGTGAATGTAAATTTTCTTTAATGTTCTGCAGGCTACCGTCTAAGCGACCATGTAATCAGTGAACACAACACACTGACTTTCTTGGAATGTTCTCTATACTGCCTCCGTAAAACTTCTGATTGTAAATCAATCAATTACAAAGCGAGAAAACGTCAACATTCTCCTAAAAATTGTCAGCTCAACAACGCTACAAAAACAACACATGCTCAGAATTTGCTGGCTGATGAAAACTACGATTATTATGAACAGCTGAAAAAGGTATTTTTGTAGAATTTCTGTAAGCATGGGAAGCAAGGTAGGCAAGCAATGAAACGTAAGTCTGATCATGTATTAACATTTATGCCAACCTCGCACGCCAGGCTCTCTACTTCCGCTTTCCTCCCAAATACGCTCCAGCAGAGACCCTGTCGCACTGGTCACATGACACCTTAAGTCGCTTTGCCCCGTGGCAGGGTAGGTAGGCCGTTAGCTGTGGCATGAAAACGTTCAGTTCCGTCGCCCCCATCGCGGTGCTAAAATATTTTAACGGGAATTAGGAGAAAAAACTATGCTGATTTTAAATATCTTTGTTCCCACGCGCAGAAACGCGCTGTTTTTTCACAATGTAAGGCCAAAGTTTGATATTTTCATCCGCTAAGCGCCATCTTGAATTCCGCGGTATCTTTGATCTTTTGGCATAATTACTTGAAGTATTCTATGAAACGCGGGCTCATAAACAACTCAAATCATAAATATGGATGAAGAATCTAGCATAACGCTTTCTGCGCGGCAATGTTTTAGACATTTTAGAGGTAAATCTGGCGAATTGTGTCATTTAGCACCTCATACAAGTTAATACAACTGCTAAAATCTTAAGATATTATGAAAAGTGGGTTAATTTGGACGAAAAAGCGACTCAAGTCGCGACAAATGTTTCGTAGCGTGTCAAACATTGGTCATTTATATTTTATAGACTAAAGGATCGTTCATTATTAATACAGGGGGCCGGTATGAAATGTGGTGGTACCGGGGAGACATTTCTCACCAAATATTTTAGGAGGGATGTAAGAATTTTTGAGTGATGGAGGAGGGGTTGCATATATTTTACTGAATTATTTGGTATCATGTGACATACGAAAAACAGCTGTAATTAAAATAGTTTTCATTTACACATGAGGTGCAATGGTCTCCTCCTCACAAGTAAAATCACCTGGAGTTGATCATAGACCAAGTAAAATAAACAAAGTGGGAGCATTGCTACAAGAATGTCAAGAATGACTTGATAAGAATATGCAAAAGTAAATGAATCCAGGAATTTGAATACCTATCTATTGAATCGCTATTTCACTTCGACCAAATCGTCTTCCAAGATAAATTTCAGTTACACTCTTTGCTGTTATTTACCCCCCCCCTCCCCTCCCCCCCCCCTCAGCAAGTGCCTCCGAGAATAATGATTTGATTGAACATATTCAATCTAATGTTGACACATATCTTTGTAAACATCCAGAAGCTCTTGTTATGGTTACCGGTGATTTTAACCCCCCCCAAGTACTGGATTGAAGAAGAATCATATTTAAAAAAAGACTATCTGGCTTGCGCCAAATTACTGATGTTCCAACAAGAGAAAAATTCATTCTAGATTGGTGTTTAGTAAACTTGAAAGATGTACCTTTTCCACAAAATTCTGGCTGGGTTAGATATATGTCAGTCACTGTGCGATAAGACGTTTCTTTGCTGATTTTAGGAAAGGCTTTGACTTGGTTAGCTACAATATTATTGTTCAGGAGCTTGAAAATCTTCATGTTAACCCTATTACTATTCAGTAGATAAAGTTCTTTCTCACAGATAGGAAGCAATGAGTTAGGATTGGAGAATCATGCTCTTCTTGGAAAACAGTGAACGGAGGCTTGTCGCAAGGGACCAGGCTAGTTGGGCCGACTTTGTTTGCAATTTTAATCAACCCTCCACTAAAAAGCTGATGAAGCAGAATTCAATTTGTAAATGATACAACCAGAAATAATTCCTCGCTGCTAGCCAAATATATTCACCAATCGTTGTGGATGAAATTAGTGAATTTTTTTCTGCAAGGGCATAGAGCTTAATCCAAAAAAAGTGTAAGGAAATGTTAATATCGTTCTTGTAATATTCTACCTCTATTATACATTCGATTTACGTGGCCGGCCTTCCGGTTGAATCCATTCCTTCCTTCAAATTGCTTGGCTTTACTTTGTCTCGTGGCCTTCCATGGAGTCCTCATGTGGATTTTATTATGAAGAAAGCAAGCTAGATTATATACGACAATTAAAGAGAGCCGATATTGGACAGCACGATTTGGTTTCTATTTACTGTTCAATCATACGATCTAGTCGATTTCGTGTTGAATATGCTGCTCACGCATGGTCTATTCTCGCTGCTGGTTTGTCAAATTTAATCAAATCAATACAAAGACGGGCACTGAAGATTGTTTACCCTTCCCTTTCCTTTCCTTTAGCCTGCTCTGGCCCAGAGACTTTAGAAGCACGGAGAATGAAGCTTAGTAAACATTTATTGACCATTTGAAGTTATCTTAGGACTCTGGTTGTAATACACTGTCTCAAATAGTATGTACCCGTACGTTAGACTTGATTATAAACTTGGATTATTGCCATGTTTATAAACTATCTAGTATGGTTTTACTCCATATCACGAAAACACCATTCCCCAAACGGCAATATTTCATTCATTTTGAAGGTAAATCTGGCGATTTGTGTAAGTTAGCACCTCATACAATTGCTAAAATTAGTGAATATTGAAAAAAGTGGATTGATTTGAATGACGAACAAAGCACGATCGGAGCAAATGTTGCCAAACGTATAAAACGTTGGTCATTCGTTCGGAATGTAAGTATTGTAATAAAGAGCTCGGATACGGACGTCATATTATTATCCTTTATTTTTGCCATATTCTCCAATGCGAACTATTTTTTGAGACTGGTGCGAATGAGAAAACTCGTATCATAGATGTCAGATGTGTTAACAGCAGATTGGTGAGAAACAAGGCAAAGCATTAATTGAATTTCACGTATATAACGGTAAGCAATAACTAGCTACATTATATTAATAATTAGGATGCCATTTCGTTAATGATTTAGCTAAAAGTGAGGTAGATGTATAGTAGCCACATGTAGTTTGTAAGAATACAACAGCCTGTACATAACTAGATCGTTTCTAGGGTTGATTGTACGAGCTCGTTTTATGATCGAAGTAAGATATCAACCTGAAAATTTGTTTTAAATGACGAAACATCTCATTTATGCGTCTCGGTGAGGATTTTGACGTTGATGAATCCATTCAGAAAAACCTTGAGTCACTTACATGAACGCTATATGGGGCTAAGGATTCTAATGCAGCATTGCCTCCAAATCAGTGAGGATTGTCTCTTACAACACATCCAGCGAGAACATTACCAGGCAGTAATATGGAAAAGAGAAACAACTCCAATAATTGATGCGCCTTCACCAACTGATAATGGATGGAAGATTGATGAAGAAGGAAATATTGATGTGGTATGGATGACAAAGAAATGTGCTCCTGATGTGCTACTCAAAGATTGCAACTGTAAATGTAAAACAGCTAGGCTGTTCAACCTTAAGATACTCTTGTAAAAGGCAAACAACCAGTGTGATAAAATGTGCCAGTGTGTTGGATGCACAAATTTTCCACACGAGTCCAGCGAAAGCGGTAGCCTTGAAGATGATTCAGAAGAGGATCTGGGAAGTGATATGGAGAAAGAAAACTTGTAGAATTGCAGGGATGGATTTACTGGGAAGGTGTGTGCATCACCCATAGCCCTGGCCAGAGGGGGTGCAGGGGTGTGGGTGTGGTATTTTTCATGATAAAGCAAAATATTATTAGAGATAAAATGAGATACAGTAATTTGAGTAATAACATGATGATAAGCAACTGTGAACAACAATTATTACAATTCAAATACAGTAGTGAAGCAAGACTTTGCAGTAGTGAAGCAAGTTGATGGGCGGGCGACACACATGACCAACACAACTTGGCACTAGAGCTGGCAGAGCACTCCCCCCCCCTCTACCAAATCATGCTGGATCCATCCCTGTAGAATTGTATAGCACAATACTGATGGCTGATGCAACACCGCTGATGAAATTTGTGCTATCCTATTGTAGAAATGCAAAACTTATTTAATCGATAGTATTTATTATATTTCATTGTATTGATATCTTCGAGTAAATACTTTTTAGTTCATTTTGTTATTAGTTTAAGTATTTTTTGTCGAATATCAACTTCTAAACAGTGAACTAAGACCGCTAATGTACCAGCTGTATACTTATAGCAAATTTAGGTATAAGGTATTTAATATTGTACAATATTAAAGCAAAGTATTTGACCAATGTTTAAATGTTTGATACGTTGTGCAACAATTTTTCGCGATGGTCGCGATTTGAGTCTGCTTCTCATTCAAATTAACCCATACCTTTCACAATATTTTTAGATTTTTGCAGTTGTATTAACTTGTGTGAGATGTTAAGAGACACAATTCACCAGATTTACCTTCAAAATGTATAAAAATTCCGAAGCAAAGACAGTTTTGCTAGCCATATATATGAATTTGAGTTGTTTATGAGCCCGCGTTTCATAGAATACTTCAAGTAATTATGCCGAAAGATCAAAGATACCGCGGAATTCAAGATGGCGCTCAGCGGATAAAAATATCAAACTTTAGCCTTAAATTGTGAAAAAACAGCGGGTTTTGGCGCGTGGGAACAAAGATATTTAAAATCAGCGTAGTTTATTCTGCTAATTCCTGTTAAAATATTTTAGCACCGCGATGGGGGCGACGGAATTTGATTTCTAGCCACATTTTGGCCACACAGCCAACGGCCTAAGGCTGAAATATGTCAAATACAAGGACCGAGTTTCTATTTATTTCGAATATTGTACAAATATTGGATTGTTCAAAATGTATGATTTACTTTAGTACTAGCTAGTTGTTTAGATTTTGTTTTGTAAAATGTCGGCTATAACTGGAATGTAATATTATTTTAATGCCGGGAAAGCCAAAGCGGGTTACGTTTTAGACCAAGAGCGATACTGACGCAATATTATGATTTATTTCTGGAAAACGTTCTATTTGCTTCAAACTATAAGCAGAATTAATGTAACAGCATGCATGCTTGCTCGAAGCGATACAACACGACATGCGTAACTGATGAGACAAGTATAACAACGTAAACAAACATGAAAATGCTTCTTCACATTTACATATTAAAATTTGTTTCTGCCGGTATAGGTAGCGACGATAACAAGAAAAATACGCGTTGATAGAGACACGACTATACCAACTAACCTAAAAACATTGTAATAACCGCTTAAAACATGATTTAGATCTTCTCATTAGCGACTTGACATATTGTAGTAGTACGGCAAACGATTTAGACCATTCGAGAAGTTAGTACTTGGCTACTTTTTAACGTCCCGACGAAGGACCTTCGCTCGCAACATCGAAATTCAGCTTGCATTTTTCAGGAAAGAGGCAAATTCTAGCTTGTTTTACGTACTTCGAGCAATGAAAATGAACTAATTTCGATTGTAAAAAAACGGTTGTGTTATAACATATATACTAGGTAGTTGACTTGCCCTTTGGGTTTTGTTTCGAAACTATATATTTTTTTAAACTAAACAACGATTTCTCTAGATGATTTTTCAGAGACAGGAATGAAATACGCATAATCCATCTAATACTTATATGTTACAACTTCATAACTTAAGAAATACATTTATTTTTAATTCCAGAAAATACAAAAACAAGAACCAATAAATTATGGTATGATAACTTGAAACATATCGTTGGAGATTAGGTTAAGTTAGGGTTAGGTACGTTGAAGTTAGTTAGAAGTTTGGTTGAGGTTAGATGGACGTTAAGTACCGCGTTGATATTAGATTGAAGCTATAGCAGCTGGTTGATATTAGGATGAGGTTAGGTAAAAGTTTGGTTGAGATAAGATTGAGGTTAGGTTGAAATTTGATCGAAGATAGGTTGAGCTGAGTAATTGGAGGTTAGTTGGATGTTAGCTTGAGGTTAGGTTCAGGTTAAGTTGAGGTTAGAATTCAGGTTAGATTGAGGTTAGGTTGAAATTGGTTGAGGTTAGATTGAGGTTAGTTGAGGTTATAATAGATCTTATGCATAATGACGTCACAAGGCTTGATTTCCGCGAGGAATGCTGGTTTTACTAATCAACGCCGGGAAAAATTTCGATAATGGCCATTTTGAATTGTTTAATTTTCCCGAGCGATGACTACTAAGACGAGCATTCCTCGCGGGCATCAAGCCTTGTGATGTCATTATGCGTAAGGTCTATTGAAATTGAGGTTGGATTAACCTTAGGTTGATGTTTGGATGAGGTAAGGTAAATTCAGTAAAGATTTATTAATTAGCTCTTTTCTATAGGAAAAAAAAGTTGTGATGCCCTGTACAAATCAGGAAAGACAACCACCGGCGTGTATACAATCGACCCGGACGGCCTGGGAGCTTTTCCTGTTCGTTGTGATATGGAAACCACTCCAGGTAGGGGCTGGACTACATTCCAAAGCCTTGCACTGTGGCACTGTGGACTTTTACAGAAACTGGACTGAATACAAAACTGGATTTGGAAATTTTTCTGGTGAGTTTTGGCTTGGTTTGGACAAGATTCATCGCCTGTCAGCCAGTGGGCAGAATGTGCTGAGAGTTGATCTCGAAAGTTTTGAAAACGAGAAAACTTATGCAGTTTATAAGTCATTTTCAGTGGGAAATGAACACAAGGCTTACATTATCAATATTGGTAACTTCTCAGGTATATAATAATAATTATAATACAGTATTAGTATTAGTATTGTGATTGGTCAAGATAATGTTCCAGTAGCATCGTTTGCCAGAAATCTTGTCATGTCACATCATATAAATAAAACTTGTCAATTCGTAGTATATCATCTTCATAACATTAGACGTATTCGAAAGTTTTTAAGCTATGAAGATAGAAAGTCTGTGGTACAAACACTAATTATGTCAAGTATTAACTATTGTAACAGTCTTCTATTTGGTGTCACATATGTACATCTGCCTAAACTACAACGGCTACAAAATACAGCAGCACGTCTTATCTGTTCTATCCCTAAGAATGATCACATCACTCCGACTCTCGTCAAACTACACTGGTTCAAAATTGCCATGCTTGCTTTTAAATGTATCCATCAGTATGCACCTCTCTATCTTGTCAATCTTTTAAAAGTAAGAAAGATGTTGTGCTATAGCCTAAGATCTAACGAAGGCACATTGCTTGAAGACTATAGTACAAAAACCAAGAAAACACTCGGTAACAAAGCATTCGTAACCTCCGCTCCAAAAATCTGGAATGAATTACCAATGTATATAAGAAATCTGCATAACTTCAGTATTTTTAAGAAATTAGTTTAGACTTATTATTTTGAAGAAGCCTTTAATGTAAATATAGTTCATGCATGTAACATATATAATCTATATAATCTTGTTTATACTTTTAGTTGGTAACCATTCAGCATAGAATAGTTTTAGTGTAATTATGTATTGTGATGCGCACTTGATCATATACTATAACATGTCAATTTGCGCAATATAAATATTTAACAATTATTCGCAGAAGGCGAGGTGATTATCGGGAAATATTCGCCGAGACGAAGTCGAGGTGAATATTCCCCAATAATCACCGAGCCTGAGGCGAATAATTGTTTTAGTATTTTTTCACAAGTCTTTGTGTTTTTCTTTCCGACTGAATTTATTTTAATTTCACTTAATATTTCTTTATCAATAACTTCCACAGAACGGCTAGCCGCCAGTTTGAAAATTTCGGTTTTGTTTTCTTCACCTGTAGGTGAATATAACAGCTTCATACGTCAAGTTTGACCAATCAACTTGTAGGATTTGTTATATTCACCTGTTATTATCCACCGCACATGAGTTATTCTGCAATCTTAGTTGTTGAGCTACTCGCCGTATATCATATCTTATTAGATTCTTCTGAGCCCAATATGGCAAAATATTAAGTCGAGACTGCAATATTGGGCGAGACCAAAGGTCAAGCCTAATATTGAAGTCGAGACTTCAATTTATAATAATTATTTTGCCATATTGGTCGAAGATGAATCCAATAGGTGTTTTATTACATCGAAAAAACCGATTCTATAGCAAAAACTGAAAGCGTCTTTTCAAGCGATAATAATACACCGAGAATAATACTGCGCTAACATTAACACACATCGGTGGCGAATTTGCTCAAGGTGGCTCCATACAGTTTTCTAGCCTTCGCTTTTTAAATTAACCAAATTTAAATTGAATACACTTCAGCCTGTTTTCCACTTCAACGGTATCGTAACGTACCGTACCATTTTCTTTTGTGTCGCAGTCATCAGTTCCACACTACCGCTCAGGAAACAAAAAATACGCTACGATTCGGGACTATGCGTATTGCAGCTGTCGATATACAAACAAATAGGAACAGTGTAAGCGTAATTACTCTTTTATTGTTTAATTTTACAATGAAAAATTGTAACAGAGAATTAATAATTAATTACTTCTTCAGTTAATGACTATTAGACATACCAGGTATCCCGAAAAAAAGCACACCTTTATAAATTTTCCCATTCTAATTGTTTAAATACCTGAGCATTAATCTTGTTTTCGTAGTAAAGCTTTTTAACGTACTGTAGCATTTTCTTTTGTGTCGAAGTCATTCGTTCCACACTACCGCTCAGGAAACAAACAAATACGCTACGCTTCGCTACGATACGGTTGAAGTGGAAAACAGGCTTTACGCTAAACTCACGGAAGCGTTAAATATAGAGTGTATTGAAAAACGAGACCTTAATAAATTACTGTATTCTTGTTAAGCACAAGATTTTCTACTCCTGGGAAGTTAAAAAAGCTTCTAAAAAGCTTCTTGTCAAACGAAATTAAAGTTTTAAATAACTTCGTCATGCATAAAATTCATTTCTATTCTCTTTTATGCACCCGTGGGTTCATCATAGTAATATTGGCTTTCAAATTCTAACCTGAGCTTGATTTCAAAAAGCTAGTATATTTTTTTATAAAATAACATGTATATAACGCGTGCTCTGATTGGTCGAAACCCGTGTTTGGATCAGGCCATCCAAACACGGAAGACTATCGTGTTGTTATTATTTTATAAAACAATTACTTTATGGTTTCCCTGTTAGGATGGCCTGATCCAAACACTTGGGAATGTTGCTCGAGTTAAGAAAAGCGCGCAAAATCACTCGCCTTCGGCTCGTGTTTCGCGTGCTTTTCTTAACTCTCGCAACATTCCCGCGTGTTTGGATCAGGCCATCCAAACACGGAAACCATAAAGTAATTGTATAACATTGCACCATTCGCTCTCGTCGTATATGGCTGACATGTGTCAGGTCATATACGACTAAAGCTCATCGTATAATTGTGGAGACCTTTAGAAATCAACCATATTGTTAAAATTTGAGTATGCAGTACTTGAAGTAGCAGGCCTAGAAAAGTGTTTTATTCTATATTCTACAATACATACATGATATGCACAATAACTCGGGACCTGGAGACAAGTTGCATCAAAACGAGGCTGGTAGCCAGATGCCAAATTGTATCATTTGAGGCATTATGCATAGTGTGTTATAGAACTGCATTGTTTCCTAAATCTTCACAGTATCAGTTGCTAACTTGCTATGACCAGCTTCACCACAGATTTTGTAATTTTTAGCTTTTTTCATGAATCATGACATTATCAATTAGGTTCGAATTTGTTTGCAAGCAGCAGTCCTTGTATTCAATTTTTAATTTAATTTAATATAAACATTCATATGAAACAAAGAGAAATTAAAAAGCTTGCTAGGAAATTATAGATTATTTACTATTAGATTTAGCACTTTAATAACTATTTTAATTAACGAAATTTCGAACCACAATGGCATATTAAATGATAACCAACGGTCATAATACTAAAATTAATGCCCAACTTACTTGCTTTGGAAACGTAAATGAATGTAAATGACAATGATTCCTCTGTATAAAACTGTATTATTGTTTAATATATTCCTATTTCCTATCAGGCTCTTAAATTCAGAATTCACTGCCTCTCATTAACACTAACACTAAGTATTGCAAGCAGATTGTAATTTTTCCGCTGAAGGGAGCAGTATTTTCAATATCTGTTCCCAGACAGCATCCCTCCCCCCTGGTAAACGGAATCTTCCTTCCCATCATCTCGGTAATTCCTCTGTGGTCGGGGGGGGGGGGAGTCTACGCAGTCTATAAGTCAGAATCATTCGATTCCGCAAACGCAATATGGCGGGATATGCATCAACATTTTAAAGTTTTTTATCATGTTATTCATGTATTATGATATTAAAATGAGATTCCAAAAGCCTATCACTACAGATTGTTTCTACTAAATTTAATGTTGGTCACAGACAGGCAAGCACGGTATGTTTACTACAATATTCACCTTTAACTTTGCTTTTACTATAAATCTATATTTTCACGAATTTTGTGAATGTGATTGTGTATTAAAATATTTCTCCTAAAATTCTGCGCGTATATCGTTGGCTCAGTAGCTCTGTTGCCGGTTGTATATAAAAACAGTTCAACGAATAACTTTGCAGTTTGAGCTGTTGATATCACAGAGACCTTTATACTATAAGTATAACAGTATTTTAGTAAAATTTGATAGTCATGTGATAGCTGCATAAAAGCTAAGCAAGTACTTTTGATGTTTTGATATCATTGTATAGTTGAAATAGAATAGATAAGTGATCTGGGAATATTAATTTTCAACCATACTTGGCAGTTTGGGTTCTGTTATTATGTTTAATTATTTTCACTGTAATTTATTAAATACTGGGTATTACTGTATACAGTATGCCTGCTAAGGCCTGCTTACTGTATTAAAGTAGAGTAGTTGGTGGAATTATTTGATCAATACAGCTTTATGGCATTACAGAAAATGTAGTAAATTAAAAATATGATAACATTTCAGATAATCAGGCTTACATACTTGTATGTTGATGTCAGTTGCAATGCCAAACTCATAGAATATATAAGTGAGTATTGTGAGTCTAAAGAATTTTGATTGACAGTATTTGTGTTTTACTGACGTGAAACTGTGCCGGTTTTTATTTGCAAAATAGGTCGAGTTTAGGCGAGTTAAGCAAAATTCTGTCAACTTCTCATTGCGAGATAAGGCGAGATTGGGCGAGTTAAGCAAAATTCGATCAATTTCTATTGCGAGATAGGGCGAGATAAGGCGAGTTAGGGCGAGTAGAGTAGGCCTTTTGCATGGCTTTTCGCTGTGCATATATTAGAAAAAGGAGACCTTTAGAAATTGAAATAACGTTTAAACAAAAAATTGTCTGCTCCTGGGAACAATCTACCATGCATACTGTACGTAGATCACATGTTACGCACTCGTGGGCTTAGCAAAGTGCTACAGGATTCAAATTATAACAATGGTTGATTTCTAAAGGTCTCCTTTTTCTAATATATGCACTGCATCAATATTGCACGCACCACGGTTCAGCATATGTGTAATTTAAAAGGCATTCAAATTTTAACAATATGTTTGATTTCTAAAGATCTCCTTTTTTTTTATACACCCTGTATAGTTATAAATTCCTTGCGTGCTTGCATTATGAAACGTAGTCTCAAAATCACTAAACATTAATGCATCAACAAATAGAAAGGAACCGCTAAGACAAAATGCGAAAACAATCACCAACTCGAACTCATAATATAGAAAGACCCTACTTATATAACGCTAATAAACGCTCAAATGTATTCAGATATAACCTTTGAATTTATTTTTTAATACAAGTCCCGGTTTGAGAAGTAACATTAATATCCGATCGGGTATATTACTGGGTCGTTAGTATATTCATAGTTAACAGAATAGATGGTTTGGAAACTCATTAGAATGACAATATAACTCATTATCTATGTTAGTCAACGTTTATTCATAAATATGGTCCTTCACCGTCACGTGTATATTGTATTTTTGCCAAATCCACCAATAGCAATTTGCAATTTGCCCCATTGTTCGAGTCACGGATAGGTAACTTTCCTAAAACATTGCTATTGTTAGTTGGGCAAAAATACAATACACACGTGACGGTGAACGACCAGATTTACGAATAAACTTTGACTAATATAGATAATGAGTTATATTGTTATTCTAATGAGTTTCGAAACCATCTATTCTATTAACTATGCATGTTATATTGCTTACAAAACACACCAAAATTACTAACTACTCGATCTGATTATAACTATAAAGCACAACTTAAGTTTTACAGCCCAACAGTAAAAATTCATTGCGGATATTTTAAGTAAATCGCATGTTTTTGTAACATCAGATATAGTAAAATTTTATTCTTTTTATTAAAATGTTTATAGTTAAACGAAATAGAAGGAAAATTTAAAACCCATCCGGGCCTTCCTACATTGGCTAAAATATTTATAGATTTTTAATTTTGTTGAATATTTACTTCACAGGGACAGCAGGAGACTCTTTAACTTCTACCAACGTGATGAAATTCAGCACTAAAGACGTCGAAAATGATATCTCGCCTGGTACACCTTGTGCTCAGCGCTGGCACGGCGCATGGTGGTTTGGGAACTGTATGGATGCACACTTGAATGGCGAATATCTAGGAGGTAGACACCACGGAGGAAAAAAGGCAGGTGTTTTATGGATGAGCTTTAAAGGATTGTATTACTCTTTAAAGGGCAGTGAAATGAAAGCAGGACCTGATAAAATTTAAAACGCTCGTTTTATTATAAACATTTTGAAAACTTTGTAAAATTTTGCTCTTTACTGATAATGTAACTAGATATAGAATGAATATATTGAAAGCTTTTGGCTTATGCCTATGCGCACGCGCAATGACCTATATAGGCGCTGCCTTGCTGCCGTGCGTTCGAACGTATAATAAAGCTTGAGTACTAGTGTATTATCTAATACACGTCTTGACCGCGAATTAGAGAGACAGAGATGTTAATTCTCACGTACTGTAGTTTACGCTTCTGAAACAACGCTTCCCATTTTTTTATCGTCGGCACAGAAACATCAACAAAACAACACTGGAAAAAATTTTGAAAATCCATAGAATGGAAATTGTATGGATCCTTATTGGCAATATAATGGATTTTTGATTATCCATACTATGGATATAGTATCGAAATAGTATGGATATACTATGGATTTTGTGGTTCAATTGCAAATCTCATAGTTTGGATTTCACATTTTTTCCCAGTGCACCTGCCAATGGCGCCGTCAGGATTTTTTTGGGGGAGCTGGGGGTGGGGGAGGACAACCTGCCAATCTCTAAGTCAAACATTTTGGGCGTCTGGGTGCATTCATGATCCCAGCCGGGGGTGGTAGAATTTTGCATGGGTCTCTAAAACGACATTTCCTGCATTGTATTTCTTGCATTGGATGAATATGCAGCGAAGAATATCAAATTCTCCGACACTAATTATTGTTTTGGAGGACTTTGTTCGCCCCACCTTTATCCCTGTTCTACCACCCCAACACGTAAGTGTTTTGTGAAGAATATAGAGGTGTCTGCGGGACCTTTATTGGAAATAAAGTGGATTTTGAGAATCCATAATAATTGTGTACTTCCACACCATGGACATAGCATCGAAATAGTATGGATATACTATGGATTTAGTGGTGCAATTGCAAATTTCATAGTATGGATTTCACATTTTTTTCCAGTGTATTATATATATATATATATATATATATATATATATATATATATATATATATATATATATATATATATATATATATATATATATATAATGCATAACTGCAAATTAATTAAGCATATATATATCAAGCGCATAACTGCGAAGCAGCCTTATACAGTTAAGATGTCAGCTGATGTTGGATGGATTGTTTTTATAACCAGTTGTGGTCGTCATAGCTTAATTTGTAGTCCGTAATTTTGTAGTTGATAAAATGTACTTTATATGTTCTTTACATATGAAAAACTCTTTTGAAAATTAAATTGTATTTGGAACAAAAACATGGGACTAACCTCTTATTATTAAAGAGCGATTGGATCCTGTGATTTTCAGGTTGCAAAAGCGCAGTACTGTCGTTTACTGCTTTTGCAAATACGGTCGATTAACTTTTTGTCGCTATATATATATGAGTCAATAACGTCGATTTCAGGAAGGATGCGGGATGCCAGTCTGAAATGTGGACTATTGTCTCTTAAAAGCCTTAAGAGTAGTTGATGGTTGCGCAGAGCATGAGACCTGTTGGTTTTTAGTTTAAAGGTAATGATTGAGCGTAAAGTGTAAGTTGACAATTTTTAGTCCAATTCTGATGCAGCAAACGCGCTAGCCAAACACAATAGTGAAGAGGCCATCCGTCACTCGTCCAGAATCGGCTAGAAAACAAGTTTCGTTGCACCCCTCAAACCAGACTGAATCCTTTATAAAACACAAATGTTGTTATCCTGATAGCCTGCAGGTAACGAGAAAAATAATTTTGTTTATAGTGACGATTTGACCGCCAATTTCGTACATGCACTGTATATACAACAGTAAAAAAGTTTAAAATAATTTAAAAATGCATAATACTCAATTCAAGACAATAAAATATGTTATGAAAAATGGTAAGGTATTTTAAATGTTTACAAATCTACCAATATGGATACAAAGTTATACAATAGTTGACATGTTCGTGCAGTGTTAGCAGACGTCAGTGTCGTCGTGCAGTGTCACCTCGACTGACTCGATTGGCTATCCCCATCGCATTCCGGCCAACCTTATATCGAAAAGTCACGGTCCTACAGGACTTACAAAATATTATTTAACAATTTAATAGTAGCCGAAGCACGTGATTATACAATTAATTAAGCCTAGATTCTACATTAATTCACTGAGCCGAGGGCGAATTGAATACAGGCTTCTAATACCGCGAACCTGAGGCGATTAGTTGTTTTAGTATAATTTCAGTATTGAAAAAGTTTTATTTATAAATACTATTAATGCACGTGTTTATTTTATGAATATAATTTGCATAAGTAATTTACGTCCGTCTGATTTTCAGCCATTTTGGGGGAAAAGCAATTGTTACTATATACTGGTCAGAGCAGTCTGAGCAGCAACTATGGTTACATAAGATTACATAACTCAAAATGATTCGAGCAAAACGGTTTGTTGTTAAAAGGAAGACTGCTTAATAGAAATTGGTCCTTTTGAGTGACATAATCGTGCGTCGTCAGTGCGGGAACGTTTCGGATTTGAACTCAGCTTACTTGAAAGTATAGTTCCCAGCGTTAACTGAATACTTCAGATCCATGCAAGACATGCTAAAATGAAAGTGAACAATATCGGGATGCGGAGGACAGCCTAGAACATTACACGGGGGAGTAGATTATAAACAATAGCGACCTTTAACAAGTAGGACAGCAACCGAGATAAAATTTCGAAAAGCTATAAAATTTGCAGTCGTTCGAACATCCGAGTTGTAAAAATTGTCTGTGACTCATTCAAATTAAATGCAACCCTCGAGCTGTGCGGCACTGACGGTAGTTTATACTGCAGTACTGAGATAATAGAAAAAAACTAAGGCTTGCATGAGACTGGTGTAACAGGAAGATCTTAGGAAACCAAACAAGTAGGCTACTACAGAGCAGTGCCCTAGCTAGGGCACAAACCAAGTACAAGACAAGTACACCACAAGCGCGATGACATACTGGTTTCGAATGAATACCAATGAAGGCTTATATGATCGCAAACAAACTGACAAACTCACGCAGCGAATATAAAGCGATGCCTAACTTTGTTTGGGCACCGTTATAATAATAATATGCATTTACTAACAATCGTCTCAACTTATCTATTTTGATGATGCATTTTCCAAAATAGTGGAAAAAACTTTGCTGCCTAAACTTACTATATAACCCATGCAATGGCAAATGAAAAACGCATGTATACGTTGCCGATGATGTTCCTTACTGTGGCACCGAACCATATATAGAAACGATACTACAGATTAAACACGCTTCAAACACTCATTAATAATTCATAAGCTTATTGGCAAATCATGTCAACCATAATATGTCACGTGCAGTGGCTTTAAACCTGATAAAACACTCCCAATTAGTATTCTTTATACATATATATATACATATATATATATATATATATATATAAAGAATACTAATAAGGCAGTATCTATTGTTGTTGTGTCCTTATTAGTATTTTTTATATAAAGAATATTAATAAGGCGCTTTATCTATTGAATTTGTAGTCGTGTTTGAAGCCGTTTAATAAACTCGCAGGTCGTGTTTTATTAGGTCTAAAGCCACTCGTGCTGCGCGCTCGTGTCTTTAATCCTAACAAGACGCCGACTCGGCGTTAACCTCGGGTCGGTGGATAGGGGATCGTCTGGTAAATATCCAAAAATTGTGTAAATCACGATAGTTTAATAGTTCACTAGTATAAATGGTGAATCAGTTAATCAAAACTCCGTTTTAATATTTTATTGATAATAATTACTGGCCCTCATCAAACCTATTGTTTTCTCTCTGCATTATATCCAACCTCGTTCCAGGCTCTTTGCTCTTGGGAAGCAAAGACCCTGGTCGGGGCTGATGACGTCACACCCAGAATCTGGGGGTAAACGTACAATTTGACTATGGGTCGGGAGGTAGAGGAGCGTGTTTGTTGCGTTTGGAAAATTGCAACTTTGTGTGTTATAATTTCGGGTGATAAAAATGTAATTTGCAACAAGAGATTGTGAAAGGAACGTTCTAGATTCGTACCGATCATGACAAAGACTTCCTGCTGTACTGAATGTCATCAACAATAAGTGTTGCGTTACATTTCAAGCGAGAAGCTGGATCATATTTCACTTGGAAGGAAAACACTCCACACGCGCCTGGCTTGCGAAGTTTAGCACGTATCGCCGTAGAAACATACATATCTTCTACACAGACTGATCGATCAAACGGTATTAAACAAACGATATGGTTCTTTATAGTTGAAGTGTATCCTGTCCGATATTCGAAACAAAAAATTTATTTTATAACGGGATCCTCTGATTTCCCAAACATCGCCAACATGTGTAAACAATAGTGCTATTTTGACTGTAAAAGCACAGGATTAAAACCCGTTATGGACTGGCTATAAAATTCATTTCATTTACATTGCTGAAACTCAACGATCAAGAAAGATAATGTCAAAGTGTAGCTAGCTATCTGTTATCACACAAACGCAAAGACTCCTCCGTGCGTTTCCGTGCGTGTGGTACAACTTGAATATCTACGACGATATATGCACCAGACACTGGCATTGTACTTTATATAAATTATTTCATATTTTGTGTATACAGTAATTTCAAACATGTATAATATTAGACCTTTCATTGACATTGGCATTGTCCATTGAGGGCTTTATTGAAGAATAATCCAGCTTCTTTAGACTTGTATAATGGATTAATGCCGCTGTGAGTTATCAATATTTAAATCAACTTTAATATTTATCGTATTCCGTAACCAACATTTTAGAAGTTTAGTCTGTTTTACCAAACAATACTGGAGGCAAACAACCTATCTATCAATGGAAACTTTAAAAGGTTTGTTACAGTAAAACTCATTAATATAAGCGAGACTTCGTGTGCATATACAGTTTATGAATTATGTATATCCTGATAAAACGTAGGACACCTTATATCAGATGTAATAAAAAATACTTTGCTAAACCTTTTCTGCTGTCATTCCTTTGCATTTAAGGGGAGAGGGTAAATGGCGATAGAATTTATAGGAGATGCTGTGCAATATTTTGGCTTCAACAAACAGGTACTCGTGCAGATCGACAAAAAAGGAAATTCATGTAGTTGTGAATTGTCGTATGTCAGCTGTGCACTGTCGATTTCAAACAATTTTGTACGTTATATTTAGTCTTCCTGGTGTTTAACATAAACGATGATAACCTTTTAAAAAAATCTAGAGCAATATATATAAACAGTTTTAGAATCAATAAAATGGACATTCAATGTGTATTTGGCTTGTGTCCAAATGTGTCACGTTTAAGACCAGCAAGGCGCTAATCCTACGACCTATAAACAGTCGCTTTTGAGACATCTGTTTAAAAAAAATTATACCGTGTCCATATCAGAACAATTCATTGGCATATTATAAGCATATTATAAATATCAGAACAGAAACGTACGCGTGAAATGAAACTGACGCCCGAACCGGCGAACTCCGAGAAAATAAAAATATTTCAAAGCGCACAGTCATACGTTCTCGTTGCTTGATTTCCTGAATTTTCTGTTGCTATAAGAATCTGCATTTTAGCATGTTTGTATAATTTAAAAGCAAACAGAAACCAATTTAGCAAGTAGTTTGAGGTATATATGATTCTCGAAGATGAATTAGATGATTATACAGAACGGCCACTCCTTGCAATCGAAGTGCGAAGTGCGGAAGTGGAAACATGTAATATCAGACTTTTCCATCCCTACCCCCCTTCGGCTATCAATTTTCTATGTGTGACGTCATCAGCCCCGACCAGGGTCTTTGCTTCCCAAGAGCAAAGAGCCTGGGAACGAGGTTGCATTATATCAGCGAATGTCGAGAAGTTTTCATTTAACGTTCTACTGAAAAACGGGAGCGGCCTCTTTGGTTGTATAGGGAAATTCCGGCTCAGGGGTAAATGTTTATACGCGTAATATTCTATGTACGCGTTAAAATAGCACACAGCATTATTAAAAATAATGCAGGGTGCATCAGTGCACACAGACATTATTAGCAATAATGCATCTTCGTCACCCTGACATGTACACGCGATAACGTGAATATCCCAAGATGAGAAGGTGACAGTGCTAAAGGCCCCCCATACGGTGTCGTCGGGTGCCTGAAGCACTGTTGGAAACGGTCGCTGTGAGTCTTTTCAGTTCAATTTTATAGAGAAATAGTTTCGTTTGCGCTTGTGGATTTTATCCTAGATATACGCATGTGCAGAATACACCATAAGTTCTATTCCCGTGTTTATCCAATACGCTATTTGAGTAAACCTTATCATTAATGATAATATGTAAACTAGAACACTATAATTGACCTCCGCTTGTGGAGATTTTAATTTAGGGCGATTAATTAAACTGAAATCTGTTCTATCACAATGCACTACAGTGCCTATGGTTATGTCTATATGCATGTCCTCAGAAATGTCTAGTGTAACGTTGGATAGGTTCATTGTCATACGGTCCCGACAAGCAGCAACGTACAGTAGTCTTCCAGCCGAAAATAATTACTTTTGATTCG